TTTTAACAATGTTTTGCCATGTTTCATATCATAAAACTTCATCAAGCAGCTTTCACTCCAATTTTATAAAATTCTAACATGTGTTCATGATTATTCCTGAATAAAGTGTTTAAAAATAATTGGGATGAGAAAGCTGAATGATACAATAGCAAACTAGACCTACTGGGAGCAGAGGCATGTGGGCTCCTATCATGCTCCCGCTAATTACCATCCTTTAGACTGAAAGCAAGTTCCAGAACTTCTCTCAGTTCCTCTTACATAAAACTGGGCAATGCCACCTACCTAACAGAATAATTGTGGTTAAAACATCTGACACGGAGTGTTATTACACAACTCATTTCACTTGGATTAATACATGCTGTGAGCCAAATTATACCCCCTAAAATATTAAAATCTTCATCAAACAGATCCTCTGTCATATTTCTCTGGGGACTTCCATGACCTCACAGACGTGAGAAGACGCAATACAAACAAAGAGCTTACTTGTAACAGTGGTGGAGAGTCATGAAAATAATCAGAAATGTGTACTGAGCATCTACCTTGTTTAGTGTCCCACTGAGTGGTCCAGCATGCAGAATTTACACTCCTGACCACAAACACTTTGCCTGGCTCAAGAGATGCCTCCTAAATATTTGTTGAACAGCAAACTAATGAACTAGCTAACAAAGGCAGTGATTGAATTGTTGATGTATCTGAGTAGACATTCTAACTAGCAGAGGAAGTGTTCCTGAGAGGAATCAATGCAGTCTCCATGGTGAGACTGTGCTAAGAACCCTAGTCTGGCCCTTTGACCCTAAATCCATGAGCAGCAGCTGGCAAAATGCCTTAAACCCGTGGTCGGCAAACCGCGGCTCGCGAGCCACATGCGGCTCTTTGGCCCCTTGAGTGTGGCTCTTCCACAAAATACCAAGTGCAGGCGTGCATGTACAGTGCGATTGAAACTTCATGGACCATGCGCAGAAGTCGGTTTTTCGGTCTTGGAGAGTCTATTTTGAAGAAGTGGCATTAGAAGAAGTGGGGGGGTGTCGGTCAGTCTGGCGGGCAATGGGAGACATGGCGCAGGCGGGCCGCGGGATACACAGCATGGGCGAGGCGCGCGCGATTCATGCAGGAGTTGAGTGAGCCAGTCAGTCAGCAGTCTCATGTGCAGTGGTTAGTGCTAGTCCTGTCTGCAAATCGCGCGTGGGTGACAAAAGATAGACGAAACAAGTATACAAGACAGGTCGTCTTTCACCCACAGTGGATCAAGCAACTCTCAGGTAAATCTGGAATCATTTCTATTTTTATGATACAGTATTAAAATATTCAAAATAATTCTATTATAATTCTAAGTGTTATCAAGCCTCATTAATTCATACTAGGGTAAGCAGCAGTTTGGATTACAGAAAGCTACTGACTGTTTTCACAGGTTTATTATCACTCTAAACTATGGACAACAAATAAAATAACAAGTAGTGTCCTTTGACTCTTTCCAAGAGGAAAATAACTGCCAGCATTTGGTTAGCATTTGGAGTTAGAATTATCTTTATAGATACATTCATCTTATTTAATTGTCATAGCAACCTTTTGAGATAAGGTTTATTACAATTTCATTTCATTTTAGAAATTAGGTAATAAGGTTCAAAGAAGTTACCAAATAACTTGCCCAAGGATATGCTCTCAGGATGTGAAAGATCTGCTTCCAAACCCTGTGGTCTTCCATCTACACCATTTAATACAGCAATTAATTGAGGAGTGATCTGATGCAGTGAGGACAGCACTAGGTGAGGAGGGAGGAGCAAGGCACCATGTGATCAGAGGCATGTTATTCAACACAGTGTGTTGCCCCCCAATCAATTCCCTCTCCCCAAAATAGGATCTCACTACAACCAAACTCATATTATTCTCCCGATACTCAAACCAAAGTGTGTCAGAGTGTTATGCCCAGAGTTCGGGGTCCCCAATAATCCACCACCAGGGAGCCTTTTCCGATGCAAAAGCAAAGGGTCTTTTATTCAAGCCCGGGACTTGGCCCCCCCGCCCCCTGCCTCCATTACTGGATGCAAGAGAGAGCCCCGAGTTCCAAGAGAACAAAGAATTTATAGGGCTTGGGGTTGGGGGGTGGGGGCACACTCTGACCACTGATTTGGCCGATTCCGGTTGGTTGAGTGAGGGCTGGGGGCTAGTGACGCAAGGGCAGGGTGCAGCTAGGGTCTGGTTACACAAAGACAGGGGGGTGGCTAGCATACTCTTGGCCTTGGGCTAGTTTTCCCCACTTTCCCATTGGCCGAGATAAGGGCAGGCTGAGTAACTGATACTTTCTGAAGCTTTTTCTTGGAAGAGGGGTTAAGGACACAGCTATCAGTCCTGTTCTGTCCTTTCAAGAGCACTTTGAAAAGTCAAGACCTCTCTACAGGGAAAGATGCATGTAAAACTTTACATAATTCTGATAACTAGGAGCTTGACCTTTTAAACCGGATAGCCATTCCCCTGGAAGTTGTGCTAAAAATCCTCATTTAGTCCATAAAAACATTTTTCACAAGTGATGCAACAGGTAAGGTTGAACTTTGTCTACCTACAAATCTGTGACATTCAACATATAGTGAGAGAGTAATTCATCATGAAACTTATTTTGATATATAGCACAGATAAATGTTTTCCAGAATGACAGTACTATTTATTTTGTAAAAGCTTTCATTTTGAATATCATTATGCAAATAACTGAATACTAATTTATCAACAGAAACTTCCTTCCTAAGTATATACATGGTGGGGCAAAAGTAGGTTTACAGTTGTTCATCTGGAAATTAACATAATAATCCTATCTAATAAAAGGGTGATATGCAAATTAACCATCACTCCATCACAAATATGGCAGTGCCTATAGCCACAAGATGGCGGCGCCCAGTCCTCTCAGCCCCGCCAGAGTCCCCCAGTCCCGGGGAGGCGGCTGCTGAGAGGGGGCAGCATGAGTGGCCTGGTGGAATGATTGCTTCGTTGCCGCGGCAACGAGGCAAGCGTTCCACCCGGGCCACGGAGAGCCTCTGGGCAGCAGGCGCGGAGCGGCCAGGACCCGCAGAGAGCTACTGGTGCACAGGATTCGTGTACAAGGCTACTAGTTAATAAATAATAACACAAGAATAAACTCTGTTTCATGTACTCACAACCGTAAACCTACATTTGCTCACCCCGCCCCCATATTTAAATATATGCAAGTCCTACTTAGGTGAAAATGGCCTTAATTTAGTACAAAGTAGCTACTGCCCAAAACAGACCACCTCTCGTAAAATTATGTAATTATGTACCTTGGTGAATTAGATTATAAATCAGGTACCTGGAGTAAACAATGGTTCTCTGTTATCTAAATAGCTCATCCTCCTCAAAACTTCAGGCAAGGGCAAACTTCAGGAAAGACGGACATAAAGTGCTGAGGACAGGCCCCTTGCATAGCCACCAAATTAATCATGAAGACCAACAGTGGCACAGACGTCATGACCAGATTTCCCTCATTATCCCAAATTCAAATGTCTGTTATATGACAATTTCCTGATTATTAAAGTTACTTAAGATCAGAATGGGGAATAATGCAATGGAATAATAAATGGTGGAATAAGAACCTCTAAGAAAACCATTCCTCCATAAAAGCATTAAGAACATTGGCAAAAATTGTCAAAATTAACTTTTTCAGAACTCTGGAAATTAATCAAAGGCTGACAACAAACTGAAAGGTATTTATCCAACAAAAATGACTGAATCTCAGTGAGAATAGTGAGATTTGTGGTGTTTGAATTTTCCCTTTTCCCATTCCTGTCTCCTCAGCTCTGCAGTAGCCTTGAAAACCCCACCATCACAGTGAAATCTAGTGGCTGGCCACTCACCCTCTTGTAAAGTCAATGACTCCCATTCATGCCCACACAGAGCTTCCCTCAGCTTTTTAGTGCTCTGCTCTTATATCTGAATGAGCAGCAAAAGATCGCCAATCACTTGAGAGAGGTCTCTGAGATCAAAGACAACGACCAAAACAACCGACAGGAGGAAATGGACTCAGAAACATTGTAGATTATAAAAGGAAATCTCAAAATGTTCTCATTAAAACCTTTAGAGAGGACACTGCACGAGAAACCAAGAGCTGAATGAATAGAAAACAATAAAAACAACATTTACACAAGAGGAAAATGCTGTTGCAACTTATTAAGTGAAATCAGAAATGAAAAATTTATTAGAAAAGCTGAAGATAAAGTTGTCTGAATCCTGCAGAATGCCGAACAAAAGGATAAGGAAGCAGATGATTTAAAAAAAAAATGGGGATTGATCCAGGAGTTCTAACATGCTAATGGTAAGGAGAAGAGAGAAAATGGGGGTGATTAATGATCAGAGAAGAAATCCTAGAATCACAGACCATGCATCTCCATATTAAGCAGACACATCACTGATGCACGTCCATAGTTACTTTAAACAGACACACAGGAAGACCCATCACTAGGGTCTCTGCAGATAAACTGTTATTACTCAGCTCAGAGGAAGAAAAGAAATCAGATCATCAGCATTAATAAGGGACTTTTCTGGATTCTGAAATGCCAATAACAGATAAACCCCTGCTTTAATATATATATTTATGTCAAGTAATTATAAGTTAAACATCTTCCATGCATTAAAAGAGCTTCCTGTTTTAAAGAAATAAAAAACAGATTTTTTTATTGGGAGTAATTATTCAGGTAATGCTTACAATAACCAAGGGGACTATCTAAATTCTGTCCCAGAAGTTTATTTTATTGACTTTTAAAATAAGTAGTGCTTGAAGATTAGAAATGTCTATTTTCTTAGATCTCAGTTAATATTACATTTATTTGCATAGGTTTAGACTTTATTCCCCAGTTATTTTTCTTTCAACATCCTAAATACAAAAGCTCTAACAATATTAATAATGGCAGATTTAATGAATAATGAATTCAAGTTTTGAGAATTGGTATTACCTTACATTTTCAATGAATTCCCTTTCATCCTTAGGGCCACACACTCACCTTGAGGGTCGACATCTTTCGCCAGCTTCAGTGCGTCTGAGTTTGCAAGGTCGGTGTTGGCCGGGGTGACGGCCAGAATCAGACAGTTTTCCCGCGTGATGAACTGCATGATCATTTCCCTGATCTGATGCTCAATATCCACCGGCTGGTCTCCCACGGGCACCTTAGTAATCCCAGGCAGGTCGATCAAGGTGAGATTTAACACTGTGCAGATAGGAAAGAGAGTCTTATGTGTACCCTCCGTGCTAAAAGACATCAACTATGCAGAATTACCTGTCATTTTCGTGGACATGAAAAAGCTCAGCTTTGTAGATGGTGCATCCAAACAAACCCAACTCAGGTGTGTGAATAAAAAGCAAATAATAGGAAATGGCTTTGCAAGTTTTCACTGTTTTATGATATGATTGTGCTGTTCCAAATGGTCATTTTCACATAATTTGAACGGCCCTGAATTGCTTGTCTGTTTTCTTGGAGAGCTGTCATATCCATAACTAAGGGGTTATAAGTAAAAACTGGCAATACGTTCAGACACTGTCTGCCAGTCTCATGCAGTACACTGCCTCCAATGGTGTCAAGTTCTCAGGGTAAGATTTGTCCTTCCCTTCAAAAGCGTCAGGTGTTATTTACAGAGGGTTAGCCACTGAGCCTATTAGAAAGCTGTTAGCCATTCATGGTGCCATGAGATTACTGTGGGGGCTACCCAGCCGGTCTCATGGAGCAGCATTCCAGAGAGCGGGCAACGACCCCTGACTCGGTGACTCCAACCCCGACCTGGCTCTTGTTCTCTGCACGGAAGAGTGTAGACACCAAGTCTTCTTGGGACATTGCAATTGAGCTCACTTCATTCAGGCTCCGTTTGAAAAGCAACAGAACTGGATAGAAAATTACAGATTAAAATCTACCCCACTAAAAATTTAGTCTAAATAGAGGCTATTCTACATCCCACACCATGAATTGGTTGTCTAAGTTGTTAAGTTACTGCTGATAGTCTGGAAAGCAAATCGCAGTTGATTGCTAAGGAAGAGAATAAAGAGAAGACACAGGGCTGCAAGAAAATCTAATAGGGAAGACTCAACCATAGTACCAGGCACCGCTAAGATATTTGCAAGTTAATGCATGTTAATTAATGCCATAAATTTTTTTGAGGACAAGAATTTGAAATTGTGTTACTTTACTTACCGTGTGGGGAATACACTCGTAAGTTAATGGGTATGGAGGAAATGCCCTTATTCATTCCCGTCACTCGGTCTGTCTCTGCTTCAATCTCATGGCGAACTTCATCAAAATCTGTAAACTTTTTTCCTTTGCAATGTAGAAATTCAGCATATTCTACAAAAAGACAAATTAACAAAACCTAAAATCATCTACTCTTGCAATAATTGTAAGGAAACTATGTTTTTAAATTACAAGTCACAGTACTCAATATTGTCTCTTCAACCATCAAAACGAGAGAACACAGGGGTTACAAACAAGCACAGATAATACTGTAGAAATATTAAACACAGCACAAATGCCAAGGATGCTAAACTTGCTATTGTTCAGACAAGCAATTAAATATTATAAGGAGGCTTTAAACCTTCTAGCTTGTTAAATAATTTAAAGAGAATTTGGGTCCCTGAAATGACAAAACAAACAGCAGCATCTGATTGTCAAAGAAATTAGATAGAGGGCACGCACAAAGCCCATCTTCTAACCCTATTGGCACATCCTTTTCTAATGTCACCACTTTATTATGATGGAATGCTAAGTTATATAAACGCAGCTTCAGAAGGCAAAAAGATTTAAAAACAAAATGTGCTTAATTCTTTAAAAAGAAAAATATGTGGAATAATTTAGCTTTACAACATACTATTCAAAATACCACACCAACTTCTGTACTTTTTTTTTTAATCCTCACCCGAGGATATTTCTTCCCTTGCTTTTCAGAGAGAGTGGAAAGGAGGGAAGGGAGAGGAGAGAAACAGAGGAGAGGGAGAAACATCAATGTGAGAGAGACACATCCATTGGTTGCCTCCACATGTGCCCCAAACGGGGCCAGAGATTAAATCTGCAACCCAGGTACATGCCATTGACCAGAAATCAAATCCATGACCATTCAGTGTACAGGTTGACGCTCTAACCACTGAGTACATCAGCCAGGGCCCAACTTCTGTATTTTTAAAAGATATTTTCTCAAGGAAAAAAAAAAAGAGTATTACATCAAAGAAAATAGTTACCTACAACCTAAAAGAAATATCTTATCTGGAGGAAAAACTCTAAAATAACTATCCAATAAGCAGAAAATTTGTTTTTAAATTTCAGTAGCATTCTGCCAACTGCTGTACCATCAATCTCTATACCTGCTTTCCTAGATAACAGGTACGTGATAAACAACACAATTCAAAAAAGAAGCTGATACTAGTGAGCGCCCCTAAAAATATTATTATAATTTCTTACAAGGGAACAAGTCTTAACAAATATATTAATTTCTCTAATACTTAGCTAAAGAATTGCTCCACTAAGTCTGCTGTGGGCCCGGAGGCCAGCTGAGAGGAGCATCCGTAGTCTTTCTCCCCCATGAGTATGTAACCTTGCAGCTGCTCTGGCAAGGCCAATAGGCAAACAACTATGAGATGTGGTCCCCTGTCTTCAAGTAGCTGAGCATCAGCTTAGGAGCTAAAGGTTATTGCAGTGCTCAAAACAACACAACAAAAACAAACAAACAAGCGGGGTATGAACTGAGTGTTGAAGAGTAGGGAGGGCTTCCGTGTGTGCAGACAGAAAGCCAGGAATCAGAGAATCTTAATAACCTCAGCAAATCCCTGGTCAGTATCATCCAGCCTCTGCTGGAACCCACACTGATGAGGACCTGAGACTATGATCTCTTTGGAAAACACCTTCATTGGAAAATGCTTTTAACGTTGGCATGAAATCTGCTTTCATATCATATTCCATTGGTCCAACTTTTGCCCCCTGGATCTACTCAAAGTCTTCCTCCAGACTAACCTGAGCATGGGCACACAGGGCCCATCTTCCCCGACCTCTCTTGTCATGACCTTCACCTGCTGGTCTGATCAGTGCTGCTCTGGCCTCCTGGTGGCAACACGCATTGCCCAGCCCCACCCAGCTGCTCCCGGCCGACCCGAAAGGTCACAGGCTCCAGAAGTGGACTGACGAGTTTCCGCTTTAACTTACCAAGCATTGTAATGACCCAACAGTTCCAAAATTTGACTGGCAGCCTGAGACTGTAATTAATTTCTGTCTCTCCTGTCAATGGGCATGGGCATGAATGTTTCTACCTTCCTTTTCTCCATATCATTATATGTGCATTTTCTGGAAAATGGCACACTGAGACTCCGAAAGCTCACTGCCCAATGGTGAGAACATACTCAACACCAAAGCCTTCAATGGGCTTCGGAAGGCTGGTCTTAAGAAGTTATTGCATTATTTGGCAAGCTCTCTCACACGTCTACCCTCATAGGTGCTGTTTTTATTACAATATAAATTCTCAGAGAGAGCCTGTATTTACCCACTCAATGACTAAGCCAGTACCATGTGAACGCAAGTGGTTAAGAGAAGCAGAAGATAACATAATAGGAAAAGAGGAACAAAAGATGCCAAATCCCTGAAAACAAAAATTAATAAGTAAAAATAAGTCATAAATAATTTAGAATAAATGGAAATGTACTTTCTAGGTTAATATATTCTGTGGGAAATGCACACTTGAGGATTTAGGACGATCATAAGTACCACTTTCACAGGATTAATAAGCTTCTGAATCATTAAGTGACACAAATGCGGTCTTCTCTGGTTGCCACTAGATGGCGCCAACTTGCTTTCTCTGTAGGAAACGCATGCCCTTCTAGAAGGTTGTAAAATCAATGCAATTTCCAGGTTGTATTTAAATTCATTCCTGGACTCCCGAAAATGTTTTTATTTGGGAATTGAGAGATTTACAATTGTGCAGGACTATCTCAAACCTCTGGGTCTTTTTAAGGATAGGATCCCACAGCTAGATTTAGGGATGCTTGTAGGTTTCAACTAATATTTATTGAGTTCCTACTTGCTAGGCAGGCACTGTTTTAGAAACCAGGGATGTAGCCTCATGAAGTTTAAATCCCAATGGTGAGAAACAATAAACAATGTGTGTGCACGCCAGGCCATCAGTACAATGGAGAAGACTGAACAGTAAGGGGGGTACTAAATGCTGGGGAAAAGGGTTACTTTGTTACATGCTTTGGTTGAGGAAGGCTTCTCTGATATGAAAACATCCAAGACAACACTCATGAAAGGAGGGAGTCAGCCATGCTTTATAGAAGAGCATCCCGGAAATGCCTGAAGCAGACCTGCCCTTGGCTTACTGCAGGAACAGCAAGGAGGCCCCGTGCCCGAAGCACAGAGCACACAGAGGAGGAGGTATGAGATGAGATCCAATCAGACAAATTGAAGGGTTTGGGGTAAAGAGAAAAGATGGCCCAGGTTTTAAATCAGTAACTGTGGCTGATGCGTTGAGAACAGACGATGTGGAGCAAAAGAGGAAGCTGACTTTTGGAATAATGGAGGTGAGAGAGATGATGGGGCTCGGACCAGTATAGCAGCAGTGAGAGTGGTGAGTCATGGTAAAATTCTAATGTATTTGGAAGGAAAAACCCACAGGAGTCACTGACGGATTAAAGATGTAGTGTGGGAGAAAGAGAAGAGGATAACTTCAAAAAGTGTGACCTCAGCAAGGGGAAGAACTTTTGAAACAGAAATGACTAAAAGGAAGAGGTTGAAGGGATGGGGGCTGTGGATCAAGAGTCCAGTTGAGGGCCTGAGATGCCCTTATACACCCACCCAGTGGAGAAACGGGCTGCTGTTAATGGCTAGGATTACACAGCTGTGCGAGACACCATGCTCATTCACAGCCATCTGCTAGGTGTGTTTATTCTGAAAATTTCCCAGGAGATGGCAGTCGAGTGCTTGAGGAAAGGGGCAGCTTTTTCTAATGAGCACCAAAAACATGCCTTCAGAGCTGGATATGTGAGAGTCTTTCAGAGAAGTCTAAGCTAGAGACGTATATTTGGAATTCATTAGAGTCCAGCGAGAGGATGAGATCACCGAGAGAGTGAGATGGGGAAGAGGTCAGAGTGCTGGGCCCTGGGCTTTCCAATGTTCAGAGGTGAGGAGCTGAAGAGTGAGCAGAAGTCAACCAGACAGAAGGAAACCAAGAGAGAGAGGTGGCCCAAAGCCAAGAGGGCGTTTCATGAAGGAAGACCTTCCACTCCATCAAATGCAGCCAGCATGTCAGGTCAGAGAGAACTAAGACTGGACCATGGAATTGGGAGACTTGGGGGTCCTTCAGGAGGTTGACAAGAGCTGTTACAGTGGAGTTATGGATGACAGCCTGTTAAGAGAGAATGGGAGGAGAGGGAGTGGAGACTGATTATAGACAATTCTTGAAACTCTTTCAAGGAGTTTTGTTGTAAAGGAGAGGACAGCAGTGGGAGGGCAACTGTGCCTTTTCCCAGAGACCTTGCCATGGGCATCTCGTCCATCTGGCTGTTCCCGAGTTGTATCCTTTCCGAGTAAACCAGTAACCTGGTAAGCAACATGTTTCTCTGAGTTCCGTGAGACACTCCAGCAAATTAATTAAACCTGAGAAGAAGGTCATGGGAACCTCTGGTTGACAGCCAGTGAGTCAGAAGTACAGATGACCAACTGGACTGGCACTGGGCACCCTGAGTGGGAAAGGGGTCAACTGGAACCTCCAATTTGTAGCCAGTCTGTCAGAAGCCTCGCCTTGGGACTGGTGGCTGAAATCAGAGTGACGGGGGACAGGGTAGTTTTATAGGACTGAGCCCTCAACCTCTGGGTAGACAGGGTCAGAATTGAGCTGAATTGCAGGACGCCCAGCTGGTGGAGAATGGCTTATTGTGGGGACCCCAGCCCCTACCACAGTGAAATTGGGCCCCAGAACCTAAAGAGGCTGGAGCCACAAAATCCTTTTTCAATGGATCCCAAAAAGCCTCCTGGGAAATGATTTATCCTTCAGAACAGGCTGAACAAGCTGGTCAACAGCTAGACTTTTCAAGAGATGATAAATGTGTGTCCCCTGAGACTTTTACGCAATGGTAAAGTGGTATCTCTGAAGGCCTAACAAACCTCACCTGTGGTTCTCAGATACGCTCTTCCTCAGAGGAAGGCACAGTTTCTGGTGGCACAGCTCTCCTGGTGTGTCCTCCGTGTTCCATTCATCCTGAATGTTCAGTTACTGGGCACATGAAATTATCTCTTTCTAAAACAATGCCAGGCTTCCGCCCAGGATCAATCCGATGGTGATTAAATTTCTTAGGCACAAGTTCATGTAA